TTTTTTATAAAATGTTTTATAGATGGCATTTGGATCCCCAAAAGTTGTCCCGCATGTATCCTAATTTACAGCCCAAATGTTGGAGATGCGGAAGTTTAGATGCAATCTATTTTCATATTTGGTGGACTTGTAGAGATATAAAAGCTTTTTGGATTAAGATTTGGTGGAATATTTCAAAAGATTTTTAAGAGAAAAATAAAGTTTACTCTGCAATTATTTTTGTTGGGTATTATGGTTGATTTTGATGTTAAAAAAATTAATTTGATACTGAATCTTACAACAACTGCAAGATTATTGGTGGGGCAATATTGGAAGAAAAAAACTATGGAAGAATGGATACTTAAAGTGTCTAATTTAGCAGAAATGGCGAAAATCTCCACCTGTTTGAAGGACCATTTACAAGAAAAATATATTTTGGTCTGGAGAAGATGGATTGATTATATTCAAAAGAAATATGAGACTGAATAGTATTATCTTGCTTATAAGTAGATTTTAGATTAATATTAATAGTTTAATATGGTCGAATTTATATTATTTTAGTGTTATGGTTTAATTATATTATTATTTTTGTTTTTAATTAGTTAACATTTGTTTTGAAAAGGAGTTAAAGTATGTTATAGATTGATTGATTGATAGTATAGTCAGGTAATGTTTGTTAGATCATGATTGCTTATTTATTACCCTGTAATAAGCTCTGGAAAGTGGGGGAGGGGGGAAGGGGTGGGAGGGGTTTGGGTTATATTGTATTAAATTTGTAAAACTTTTAATTAAAAAAAATGATGTTCAGGCTCATTACAGACTGAAATGTAGGAAACTTTTTATTCTATTGCTGTATGGACTGATTGATAGTTTTTAACATTCCTAAACTGAAAGGATAAACTATCTGAGATAAGATGGGTGTCTGGTTGTCTCTTCATGAACTCCAAACAACTGTCAGACTTCTTTTTAATGAATATGTGTGATATTATGAGATGCAAATATGAAACATGTTTGACTACATGTAAATGATTTCCTGTGCAAAGAGGAGGTTACTTTTATCATGTCCAATCAACTTTCCTCTTGCATTTTATTTGCGGTGTCAACTATAAAAAGGAAAGTAAGAGATTCGCCCTTTTCATAGGGAGATCCCACTTTACCAGGTTACCCTAATAAATTGCTCTTAAATGATTTTCCCATTCTGTTGTTTATTGGGAAATGTAAACTGAGGCAGAACCTAGGGCCAGATTTGGCTATCACTCCTTTGAAGGCTAGTTGCTGAAGATTATTAGGCTTTCTTGTACAACTGACTGGGCACTGTGAGAAAATTGCTGGATTAGATGGGGTTTGATCTGGTAGGGCACTGATTATATTTTTATGTTCCACTATGGATGACCATATTGCAGAGACATCATCAATTACTGCTATAGGTTAGACCTACTGTTGTAGCTAATATAGCAATTTATTCAATTACTGGTGGGTTTAGAATTTTCTTTTCTTGTTCTATGCAAAATTTTGACTCCCCATATAGAAGTACTACAGGGAATCTGTAGTTTTCTATAATTCTACATTCTACTGAGCTGCGGTGATACAATAATATTTTTCTTTCCTTTTAGTGCCTGCGTTTTCCTTTTCAAAAAGTGCTTTTAGCAGACTTGGATGAAGCTGAAATACTCTCAACTCCCTATCTGGGAATCTCTAGAACGGGGGTGTTAAACTGCTGGCCCATGGGCCGGAAGCGTCATGATGAAACGGTGCCAACCCCATTGCCCGGCAATGGGAAAAAAGTCGCGATACGTCGTGACACATCACGTGATGTTGTGAGATTGACACCCCTGCTCTAGGATGTAACTGTTAAGGATTAATGCTGACTCATTCATGATGTTTCATGGGTTAGTGGTGTTGTTGCTTCTGTTAGGGTGTTCTTTGGTGAGACAGCGCAGTCCACCTTAATTTATATAACCCAGAGACAGATAAGAGAACAAAATCATACAAGAGGTCCACAATTGATATTTTAGAATTGTATGTTATTTTTTTATTTAGCTATTATTGCATTATGTATAACTTAAATTTCAAAATGTTCATATTACCTATTTTTTTTATGAAAAAGAATGGTTTCCCAAATGTAGTAATTTCATTTTGAAGTCATCATCAAAAACAACATTATATGTGAAACTGTACTGAATAACATCAGGCACTTAAACAAGAACAGAGTTAAATTGAAGCCTCCTTCTGTAGACTTCTGCAATACCTGCAATATAATCATCTTACATTGTTCTTCCAAGAGTTCTCACTTTACTTATGCTATTCTCTTCAACTATTCTATTTAAAATAGAACCTTCTAACTTGTTTGGGGGGAAAAAACCAAATGTAACTTCAAATTAACTTAAAGTAATTCTAATTTTACAAGATTGGATAGATGAAACTCTATCAACAAGCTGTATGGAGACAAGAAATACCACTGAGGCTATAAGGCAGGGGTCCCCAACCCCTGAGCTGCAGCTCACTACCAGGCCATGGCTTATTCAAAACGGGGCCATGTGAGCGGCAGACCGGTGTCCACATGCACGCGCAGCTCAACTTGCTGAGCAGCAGGCTAGCAGGCACAGGCTTAATTCATACAAGCAGTGGGCCAGCATGCATGCGCATGCACATGTCTATGCGCTGGCCCATGGCTCGCTAAGTTGTGCATGCATGCGTATGCACACCAGCCCGCCACTTGTGCAGCCCAGTTGTCCTTTCCCACCCAGCCCTGCCATGAAGCCACAAAGATTGGGGACCGCTGCTGTCAAGAGTTACTTATGACTATAATGAAATAAATAACAAGTAGCATAATTGTTTTTCAAAAACTCACAGAGAGTGGAAGTATTATATATTAAATAATTATTTTCCTACAAGGAATATAGGCTTTATAATATTTTGCTGCATTTATCTAAACAGATGCAAATAATTAATCCTCAACAAAGTTTAATTAATGTAGGATAGACTTTAAATCCTCATGACAATCAAAATTTAAAAGGAAAGATTTTTACACTGTGACATTACCATATTAGCAGAGACATTCACAGTGGCTGTTTACTATAGTTGGTTGAATAGTCAGCCAGATGTTTAGACTAAATTTGATATTTTTATCCCCCTAACTAGTCCTTCCCAAAGATCTGGGATTGGCAGATGTTATTGTTTGATGATGTTAAAAGTATTGTTTGATGGTGATAGTGGCATCATGATGATGATAATGCAGAACTGAGACAGAATTGTGCCCGGCTTTTATCAGCAGAAACCTATTCTAACAGAAATATGACGGGATTCCACTACATTCCTGCAGTATTCAAATTATCTGAGGCCAAGCCAGTAGCACAACTTCTCTATGGTGCCAGGCAAGGCCCTTTCCCAACTTCGGACCACTAGAACTTGTTCAGTGCAAATTCCTAAGATCGGCCTTTCAAGCTCCAAAATGTGTCTCTAATACCACTCTAATACCACTTTCATGAGACAAGCCTCATGAAAGTGGAGGCTAGAATGTAGGCAACTTTAATCAACTACTGGCTTAGATTATTCTTTTTTTGTTTTGGCTTTGCCTCATTTACTACAGGAGTGATTTTCAGTCTATATGGAATTAAAATCTAAAATTTAGTGACAACTAAAATCTCATCATTGGGATCTTCTCCAGCATGGGATATGATCAGGCTGAAGTTCTCATTCAGCTGTATAACAGACATAGAGTACCAACTTGATCTAGCCAGGTTCTCAACTTTTTTCGCCAGTGAACCCAACAAGTTCTCTACCTCCCTTATGGCATACTTAACAAATCTTAAAATACCTGATCATCAAAGAGCTTTTACTTTAGCACAATGATACACCCTCCCCATAGTTATCCTTGAAAGCTGATACTGGAAGACCCCTTACCCAGAGAGACAATGCCCCTGTGACTCTAGACATATAGAAACAAAGGAACATATACTTCTCTAATTCCTATACTATATAGACACATTTGTTCTAGCCTCAACTCACCATTATTGTATGAATACCCAGGGAGCACAGGACAATTTTACACTTCCCTGCTGCTCTCAGATACCATCCCTGCTACAACATATAACAGTGCACAGGTTTTGCACAGCAGCACATAGCATACATTAGAAGATGACATCTGCCATAAGTCAGTTTTAATGAACACCTGATGATTATTATAGAGTGTTTTGTAATAGATTTAGTTTATATTTTAACATTAATGTATTGCTTTTTGTTTTTAGACTTTTTTAGATTTTTATTTTTATACTTTTTAGATTTTAATGTAATTGTTATTTTTATATTTTCTCTGTTTTTAAATTGTTTATATCTTATTCACCTTATGCTGTTCTTTGACCATGATATAGGTTGTTTGATTCCATCTGTTAATAAGTTCTGTTTTATTTTGGAGAAGAGCCATCTTACTAATTTTATAAAATGACATTTAACAATATATTACTAATACAGTAGGACAGAGTGAGGAGTTGAAAAATATCTCAGAAGGCAATTATAAACCATCTCAGTACTTTTCCACAAAAAACCCTACATGAATACGTCCATGAAGTTACCAACAGTTACATTCAACTCATGAGTAGTTTCATGAAGAATGCTTCACTTATTTATCTGCAGAAACAAACAGCCACAAAAGTTGCTCAAACTTGATGATTTAAATAAAAACACATTTAAATTGAACTATTGGGCCAAGATTATCAATGAATTGTGTTTTGTGGTAGTTGAAAGAAACAAAATTGTAAAATTGTTATTATTACAATAATTAAATATGCAATACAAGTGTAACTATATGACTTCTATAATTAGACAAAAATGTATCTAATGTTGATAAATGAATACAAATAAGTTAGGAAATGTAGATATATTCAATGAATTCTGAAAGCATGGGTTATTAATACCATTGCATTTATGATAAGATATTCTGGGCACTTTGTACTATTTTGCATCTAAAAATTTTGAACAAAACAACTCTCATTTAACAATTATATACAGACTCTCACACCCACCTCTATGACCTCGTGTGTTCTTCACAACCATGGGGAACTCCAACACTTCTGCTTCATCAATCATTTTGGCAAAGTTTTCATGACCTCCTAGAAAAAAAAATAACCAAAGCTGTAAAAAGGGATGCACACAAATGTGAACTTTGGATGTTTTCTTACAATGCAAAATTCTGTTATTCTAGACCACAGGTCGGCAACCTGTGGCTCCAGAGCCACATGCGGCTCTTTGAGCCTTCCCCCGTGGCTCCCAGCTTTGCTGAGAGAGACAGAGACAGAGAGAGGCAATTGCGCTTCCCTGCTTCTCTCTCTCTCTCTCTCTCTGTTTGTGTTTTTTTTTTTTGTGTTTGTGTGTATGTGTGAAAAAGAGAGTGCACTCACAGTGTTCTCCGAGGAGCTGAAAAGCTTACTGGGCGGAGCTCCTCCCTTTGCTGCATCTCTGCAGGAAGCAGGAAGCAGGAAGGGCAGGAGAGAGCTAGCTAGCCCAGCTAGGCTGACTCAGGAATTCTGGGAGTTGAAGTCCATGAGTCATAAAAGAGACGAGGTTGCCTACCCCTGAGCTTGTTGGACAACAGCTTCAAGCTTGCCAGGTGAGCAGCAGATGGGAGGGGGGGGGAGAAAGAGAGAGAAAGAGAGAGAGAGAGAGGGAGGGAGAGAGAGAGAGAGAAAGAAAGAGAACGGGGGAAGAGGAGTGGCAGACCAAGGGCAGATAGAGAGGGAGGGAGAGAGAGAGAGAGAGACAGAGAGAGAGAGAGACCCTTTTGACATCTAAAATGAAGATAACACTGCATATATCCTTTTTTACCTGTGTGTGTATGTGTATGTGTATGTATGTATGTATGTGTGTGTATACACACACACACACAACCTATAATAAAGGTAAAAAAGGATATATGCAGTGTTATCTTCATTTTAGATATCAAAAGGGTTTTGCGGCTCCCAGTGTTTTGTTTTTGGTGGGAAATGGGTCCAAGTGGCTCTTTAAGTGTTTTGGGTTGTCTACCCCTGTTCTAGACAGAAGAAAAATATATTACTCTCAAGTATTCCCAGGTTACTTTCTAATAATGTTCAAAAGTTTATATCATATCAGAGTTATAGAATTCTTCTAATTGTGTTTTGAATAAAAAATAATATCCTATAAATATAAAATTATCTTACATTATATTGGTACAAATTATAGCTTTTCTTTCTGGCATTTAAAATGTCTAAAAATAGAACTAAAATGAGTTCAGGACAGCTAGAAGATCTTTTCTGCATGGCATTGCATTATGCTAAAAGTTTTGATTTACTGCCATAGGCTTATACAGTAGGGCAATTTGCTAAGGGCCCAGTGACAGCCTCTGCATGCATTATCTTATCAGTTAACAATGGCATGCTATCTATAACCCTTATTTTGGGGTGAATAAGCTATATCGGCTATTGTACTACATTTTTCTCAAATTTGACAAGAGTGTAAGGATTGGTAAAAGAAATTTATAATGCTTAAAATCCTTTTGGACAATTTTACTGTTTTATTTATGAATATACGTGTATATGTATTTGTGTGTGGGTGTAATACATGTATTTTATACTGCTATTCCCAGTTTATATTATACAGATTGCTAATTTTAATTTCTACGTTTGTATATTGTATATATGCAGCCTAATATGGCCTTTTAGCATATTCTGATCTAATACTGACTTTAGTCATTTTTTTGTCTGTATGTACTTTTCTTAACTATCATAAAATTGTCAATTTAGTTTTAGATAATTTGAATATCTGAATACCAATTATTTTGAGCTGATTAATTACAACAATAAATGTTCTGGATCATGTAGATCTGTATGTTAGAATGTTTGGCATTTATTGGGTTAAGTGCTGTCTCCTTAAGAGATGGCTTATGGGTAATGTAGTTTTAGCTAGTTAGCTATCCCATGTTAACAAGTATGTAGGAGGAACCACTACAGTTCATTACAGGATATCCTGGCCATGCGCCAGTTTGGAATGCCTTTGTCTGAGATAAGCATGAGACCATTGGAAGACTCAGATGGTCTCATTCCACGTTAGAAGTTAGTGTGGAGAAAGTATTAATTTCTTACCTATAAGAATGAACAGATGTATAATATCCAGAAGCAATAACCATAACTGCAAGTATTTCTGACTAAAATGTCTGTTTTATAATCATTCTTATTGAATTTATTTGTATGATCTAGATTTACAAGGCATCTTAACTCTGGATCAGAACAGTAAGAAATTATACTTTTCTCTATATTAGCTTTAAAGAAAGTAAAGTGAATTAATAAGGCTAATCTTCCTTTAACTCTGCAAGAAGTCTCCATCTGTCTGCATTGCTAAAGTTTCATCTACCTGCTATCTTCGCTAAAAGTAAAAGTTATAAAGAGACTGCTTTGAAGAGAAAACCCTTGTCATTAGCAGATGAATTTCTGCTAGCAGCTAAAAGTAAAGGACTGCAAATATACTTGTTCTAAAATGCTACTGAATTTGTTTGCTAGCCAATGTTGCATGCAAAGACTGCTTTTATGAATCACAGAAACATTGGGTGCAGCCTGCTTCCCCAAAAACATTCCTTCCTATTGCATCTCATTGTAAGAATTTCTTGCATGTAAAGACTGTGTTTCTAAAGAATCAGAGGAGTGTTGGGCAGCTACCCCCCTTTTTTTGCCTGCAATTCAAACAGCTTGAAGCAAGACTGTTTCAAATGAATGTGTGTGAGGCCAAGCCCGTTTGCTTGGAATACAAAGTGAAAGAGACTAGTTAATGATAAGCAGCCTAGAAGGGTTGCCACAAAAGGAATTTATTTCTCTTCTTACCAACCTCCCCCTTTTCTGGCCCCAGATGCCAGAACAATGAAACCATTTGTTGTCATAGTAACCAGTACCTGGGGGGAGTGAATTGACTCACTCAAAGGAAGAGCCCTCTCCCCTTGGAATTCCAGCAATGTCAATGGAAAGAAAAGATTTTCAGAGGCTCCACTAGCACATGCAGTAGCACCCCCTGGTGGCTAATCTGCACACACTTATTCAGCAATTTTATCCCTGCTGAAAGGAAGGCACCCCCCACTTTGGTAACCACACCAACCTAAATTAAGAGCATCCCCTAGAGGGGAAAGAAGGTACTTCACTGAAAATTTCTAATTTTGCAGACCTCTGATAGTTATAGAGCAAGTTCCCTGAATTCATCCAAAGTAACCAACACCCCCAGAGTGAACTTCACCCAAAGTAATCACTCACGCAAGCAGTCACCTCTAGTGGTGACTATGCTGAGGGCAAATTAAGGAGAAAGGGCAGCTCATTATCACAAAGCTGAAACGACCAAGCGGATATTAGGGAGCTAGATGAAGCTCAGTAATTTCCCAAGCAATCCCCAGCTTGCAACCTAACGACCAGGTGGGAGTTTAAGGGAGCTAGTAGGAGCTCAGTATTTTCCCAGTGGCCACAGACGTGCAACGTGATTCTCAGAAGAAAGAATTTAGCTAGCCTTTCTCCAAGCACCCCCTAGTGGCTAAAGGAGAAACTACATGCAAGCCTTTAATCATGCACAGAGAAAGCCCTCTAGTGGACAAAGGGTGAACCTCGAAGGAAGAGCACCCTGGTGACTAACCCGCAAGCAGTGACCCCTAGTGGACAAAGGGTGAACTTTGCTGAAGTACCCATGCACACAGGAGAGCACACCCAGTGGTGCCTCTATCCACAGACAGCACCCCAGTAGCTGATCTTCAAGTAGCACCCCCTAGTGGTCAAAGAGCAAAGTTCATCAAATTTGCTTCAAAATAGCTAGGATGTTTACTGAACCTGTCCTAGCCATGGCAGAGTGTCTCCTTGATTTAGAAGAAGGGGTTCAACCAACCAGCCTAGATGAGACACCCCAACCAGTCGGCCAAGGAGAAATGCTGCAAACAGCCAACCTTGACCTGTACACAGAGGCTGATGCTCAAGCCTCAGTGAGGCCAAAGACGTCCCAGGTTCCCTATGACCTGAGGCAACAAAGAAAGCTTACAGAAGCCATGCATTCACATCTGATGGAAAGATGGGAGTCGAACTACAAGTGCTATGAAAGACACTGGGAGAAATTACGGAAACTCTACCAAGGGCCTAAGGAGGAACTCTCCCCAGAAAGTGCGCATGTATTGAAAGAAGATAAGGAAGATGCCTTCGTGCAATGGATGGGCTCTGAACGACAACTCAAAGACATTCAGGAGCAATTAGGAGACCCAACAGTCGATAGCAAGATGAAAAGCCTCAAGCTAACAGTCGATAGCAAGACGCAAAGCCTCAAGCTAAAAAACAAGGCACGTAAGAAGTTTCTAGAGAGCAGACCAGTCGAGAGGGCAGAGTCTGAACTTTCCCGCCATTCGCATGCAGCATCCCAGCGATCACATGTGGCTCCGTCTCACGCCTCTGGAAAAGCCTCATCCTTTCACCATAACTCACCACGAGCCCAGACGTACTCCAGCGTATTACAACAATCTCGTTACAGGCGCCTTGGGCCATTCAAAAGCGTCTTTGCGTCAGAGCCAAGCATCCCGAGTTTCAAAGGCAGAGTAAGCAAACATCGATGCTGAAGCTCCCAACGCAGTCTTTTGTGTGTTAGAAGAGGAGCAGCAGAAAAAGAAGGAATTGGCGGTGATGGAAGTCGAAGAAGCTGAAATGGAGGCCAAACTAGAAGCTGAAGCAGCTCAAATGGAGGCCAAACGAAAAGCTGGAGCAGCTCAAGTGGAGGCCAAATGAAAAGCTGCACCAGCTCAAATGGAGGCCAAACGAAAAGCTGCATCAGCTAAATTGAAGGCCAAAATAAAGACCACTCAAGAAGAGCTTGAGCTTATACAAAGCCAACGAGAAGTGGCAGATAAAACAGCAAGAGTGAAAGGCCTTCAGAGGACACTTCAACACACCACCTTCTCGCCCAAGTGGGAACAACTGGAGAATGAAGATCAGCATAGCCGTGTGCAGGTCTACATGGACAACCAAAGCGCGTTTCAATGTGAGCAGGTCAGAGTGCCACAGCTATCCACAAGCCCAAGACCGAGTAGACGAAGAGAAGAATCTCAATGGCCAGATGTGCCGATCAGCCACAATCAATAGAACAAAAGAGCATGCACAGAATATACACAATTAATATCAGCAAGCCATAATCAATTTAATATTTTTTCAGAATTTTTTTTATTGCTGTTGGTTTACTGGTACTTTTGGAATTTTTGATTTGATCTAATTAATCCTTTTGTAATTCATTTTCTTGGGTTTGGGAGATCTTTATAGAGATAGTTTGGTTAAATGAATCCCACTTTTACTGTACTCTGAAATGTGTGGATGGGAAGTCAGAAGGAAAGAATCTGGCTTTCTGGTTGTTGTATCTAGTATTATGAAATGTGTCAGGAAAATGGGAAACAATAGAATACAGAAAATGACCTGGTAGCAGTGTTTAGCAGGTTTAGTTGCTAAACACTAATATAGCAACTGTTAGAAGGAGAACTGGCAGGAGGGATGCAACCCGTACACTATAGGGAAAGGAAAACAGGTGGGTGTCTGTCATTCACAAATTAGAAAATCTATCTCAAATATAACCAGACGTTAAACCAAATAGAATCATACTGCTGGAAGGATATCCAATCTTTTCTTGAAAAACTCCATCAATGGAGCAACAACTTTAAATGTTCTCACTGTCAGGAAATTTCTTAGTTCCATATTGGATTTCTTTTTAAGGAACTTCACACTGCTTCTTTTCTACTCTCAGGTGCTTTGGAGAGGAAGTCAACCTCTTGTCTATGACAGTCCCTCAATTACTTGAAAACAGGTATCAATTCTCCTCCTAATCCTTCTATTTCTTAGGCTAGACCACGGGTCGGCAACCCATGGCTCTGAAGACGCAAGCGGCTCTTTGAGCCATCCCCTGTGGCTCCAGAGCCTCCTCTGCCATTTGCAGAGAAAGACAAGGAGAGAGAGAGAGAGGCACTTGCACTTCCCCCCCTCTCATGCGGACTTGTCCCCTCGCAGGGCTCCTGATTGGCCCTGCACCCGGGTACCCCACCCCCTGCGAGAAGAGCGGCCAGGAAGTCCCTTTCCCGGGCTGGCCCCGTCTGAGGCGCACGTGGCTGGGGAGCCATGCGGGGAAGCCCCAAGATCCCCGCTGAGAGCGGCCCGCCCAAGCCTCCGCTGAGCGGGCCAGCCCTCTCGTAAACTGCAGCCCCAAGGGAGAGCAGCCCCTCCAATGCCCAGTCGGCATGACCGTTGGCCAAGCAGCAGCAGAGGCAGAGACAGAGGGTCAGTGGCAGGGGGGGCTCTGAGTCCATGGAGCACTGCAGCGAAGCGGCCGCAAGGCAGGTGGTGTGCCTCCTGGCTTACTTGTACCAGGCGGCAGTCTTGGCTGGGGTATCGCTTCCTGGGCCATCCCCGGGCCATTCCCTGTGAAGCCGAGCCGGCCACATGTCTCCCCAGGCGGGGCCGGGTGGCAGTCCCAGCTGGGCCGGCAGTCGGCGGGGGACTCACTCCATGGAAAGCTGAGCCGGCCATGCGTCTCCCCGGGCTGGGCTGGGCAGCAGTCATGGCTGGACCGGCGGCCAGCGGAGGCATCACTCCCTGGGAAGCCAAGCCGGCCACAAGTCTCCCCAGGCTGGGCCGGGTGGCAGTCATAGCTGGGGCGGTGGTCAGTGGGGGCATCACTCCCTGGGAAACTGAGCCAGCCATGCGTCTCCCTGGGGGGATAGGTGGCAATCATGGCTGGGCTGGCAGCTGGCGGGGGCACCACTCCCTGGGAAGCTGAACAGGCCACGCGTCTCCCCAGGTGGCAGTCATGACTGGGGCGGCAGTCGGCGGGGGCATCATTCCCTGGGAAGCTGAGCCGGCCACGTATCTCCCCAGGCCGGGCCAGGCAGCAGTCATGGCTGGGGTGGCGGCCAGCAAGGGCATCACTCCCTGGGAAGCCGAGCGGGCCACGCATCTCCCCCGGCTGGGCCGGGCGGCAGTCATGGCTGGGGCAGCGGCCAGCGGGGGCATCACTCCCTGGGAAGCTGAGCCAGCCACGTCTTCCCCGGCTGGGCCAGGCGGCAGTCCCAGCTGGGGCGGAAAACGGGCAGCCACGTTCCTTCGCCTTCCTCTGGAGGCAGAACTCCGGCCTCCTGCAGCAGGCTGAGATAGGCAAGCCCAAGCGGCCGTCTACTGCCACCTCGGAAGATTTGGCGCAGCAGCTCCTTCTCCCCGTTGGCCTCTTCCTCCACTCCCTGGGAGAAGAGGGATAGGAAGGAAAGAAAATGAAGGAAGCTCTGTAGCCACCCCAAAAAAAGCAAATTTAATAAACATAGTATCTGCCAGGGAAGGAGGAGGGAGGGGAGGCTTGGCAACTCACTGGAAGGGACCGATTCGTGGTTCGGGAAAGGTGCAAATCTTTCTGGATCAAGGCGGGGAGGGGCGTTGGGGGTTCCGGCCTCAGAGGGAAGAAAATGAAGGTGATCCAGCCTCTTCAATCAAGTGCCCTGTTTTACGCATGCTGCGCACACGCACACACACACACATTTTGTGGCTCCCAGTTTTTTCTTTTGTGAGGGAAACGGGTCCAAGTGGCTCTTTCAGTGTTTCAGGTTGCCGACCCCTGGGCTAGACATATCCAGTTCCCTTAACCGTTCATCCAGACTCCTCATAATCTTTGTTCCTCTTCTCTGCATTCTTTCTAGGGTTTCAACATTTTTTTTGTATCTAATGATTAGAACTGGATGCAGTATTCTAAATGTGATCTCACTAATGCAGTATAAAGTGTGGCATTATCACTTCTCATGATCTTGACGCTCTCTCTGTTGATGCAGCCTTGGTTATTTTTGCAGCTGCAGCACACTGCTGGCTCATACTAGATCCCTCTCACAGTTACGTATATAGTATTTGCCCTTCAACAGTTCTATTGTTTTCTATCACAAGCACAAAATTAGAATCAGAATAGTGCTGGAAGGGACCTTGGAGGTCTTCTAGTCCAGCCGCCTGCTCAAGCAGCTCTATAATTAGGAAAAATAATTAGGAAAAAATGTTTATTATATTAAGGAACACAACAGCTGGACTGCTATCTGCTATTGTGCCACTTGAGTTTATAGATGTACATATTGTTTATTCAGCTGTTAACATAAAATTGGAGATATTACACTTGATTTTAATCAAAAGGCTGAAAAGTGATATGGGAGGATAGGTAATACTTTTTTTATGGTCAGCAACAAGAAATAGGAAGACAGTAAGTTGATATGGGTTAAGCTGACTGGCTAAATGAGGAAGGATGAGAAAAGAAAAGAAAGTGATGACTGCAGAACCAAGATTATAGACAGCACTGGCTGCTAAAGCCTTGTTAGTTCCAGAGGAAACTAGGGTCAAGACAAGAAATAGAAGCAGTTGAAATAAAAAAATCGCCAAAGAAAAAAGTAGGCATGGAGGGGCAACAACAAGAGGCATATCTTGCTCATGAGAAGGGGCATATCTTCCTCATGATGCTAGAGGAAACTACATCTTACCAGCCCAGGAGAGATTGCCAGCCAATATAAATGAACACAGAACATAAAATAACAAACTTAAAAGTCATCTTGGAGGTCTTCTAGTTTAATCCTCTGCATAATTAATGCTATTCTCCTTGGATTTAAATGGGGAGGGGATGTATACACACACACACTCATTCTCAGTTGCAGGAAGCTGCTTGTGTTAAAACTAAATTATAAGAAGAAACCTGTTGAACTATGTGTTGGATCATTTCCTGTCAACACAAAAGCTCTGAAGATACATTGAATGTTAGTTTCAATTAATATTTCACAGATGCATAATAATTGTGGAATTTTTCTTGGCTTACCATAAGAAAAAGTATCTGGAAGAGGCACACCATGACCAGCCAGTTCTTGGAATGTCCAGAACTTGTTGACACAATTAAGTATGGCTTGTGGACGGTTCATTAGCCGGCAGCCTATCTTCTCCAGATGGCGAAGGACTGTAATATCACTATCACTCTGCACCCATGGTGTTGGTACACGAACCACCACTACTTGTGGGTAAGCAGTGATGAGTTCTCCATTGACCCGAAGACCTGCAGGAAAGAGTAACAAAAAGATGCAAATTTGATTAAAATCATAGTTAATAAAGAAAAAGCACTATATTTAATCTATCAGAATGGTACACCCAATCCCCTGAGCTTTTGGAAAATGACATACAGCTGTTATATTATGCCCCATTGCATAAGATTTTACATGATTTTCACACAAACACCAAAGGTCCTGGTGTTCTGCATAAATAAAAAACATTATAAATTATATACTATGTACACTACAGTATAAATCAGCTGTTCCAATCTTTCTGGCACCAGGGACCGGTTTTGGAAGAAAAATTATCTTCCAGATCTGGGGGAGAGGGGAAGGTTTTGCATGCAACCTAGATCCCATACATACAGAGATAAAGCTTCACTTCACTTGCCTGCCATTTGCATGGCCCAGTTCCTAACAGGCTATGGACCGGTACTGGTACCACGTGTTGGAGACCCCACAGTATTTACTGTACTTATATCATATATACGATATCTTCTCTCTTTATGTCTTGAATGAATTAAAACACTAACAAGCCAGTTATAGGAAACTGGAACTCTTAAAAAAACGTAACTTAGAACAGCTTTGCTTTCTTCCAAGCTCAGGACAACACTTCCAACTATGGTGTGCACTTTTCTGAGTTTGGTATCTTTGAAATGGCAATTTTAAATTTGGAACATTTTGAACTTGGAACAATCTGCATGCTGATATTTGGGAAATTTTCTATTGCTGAATAGTAAATACCTAATCCACTGCATCAGAACATGAACTCCTGACTTTTTATTCTTTTTTTTTTTTAGAAATTGTATTTTGTTGAATTGTATTGTGCAGTCCTTGGCACTCTCTGAAATTTACTGTTTGTTTTTATTACCCAACCACATAAAGTCTTCATTATCAACTGAATTCTATTGTATTCTTCAATTGCTGTATTATGGCCTTTTTTGCCTTTTTGAAGTTTGGATACTATTTTATACATTCCTCTTAATGTATAGACAATTAAATCTGTAAAGGTTATGTGCCAATAGTCTAATTTCACTGCTTATTTTTGTTTTTACAATGATCTATGTGAGGTTAAGTCTTTTCTTTTGTTGTGCACAAATTACAAATAACTTTATTACCGTCATAGACCAGCAATAGCCATCACTTTTTACAATATATTAAAAATAATGATCCATAATAATAATAATAATAATAACAACAACAACATTAATAGTAAATAATAACATCCCTGTTAAGAAAATACATGTTCTCAAAATGTTAGGGTCCCTCCCTAGTTTGTGAGTGGATAGCCGATTAGTGTGTGAAATATAATGTTCCAAACATTATTAGAGATATCTCCAAAAAATTGGCACAAGTTGACGGCTATAGATCTGTAACACAAAATTTAGTTTAAAACCTTCTATTCACTACCCTTCCTATAAAAAGGAAAGGGTGAAGAAAAGTGAGAATTGTAGCTTTCATTCTTCTTTCATGCACTTCCATGGGCTAATATGTTCAGGGTGTGTGAAATAAAGTAAGAAATCCTACCACTGGTAGTGGTGCAAACTTTTTTAAAACAACAAGGTGAATAGGAAATCTCCAAATTTGAGAAGAATTCAAGTTAGTTCCACTCAGCAACTTGGCTCTGGATAATTGCTTATCATTAAGAGAATACCCACAGGCTCTAGGTACTTGCTGGATCATTTTGAAGCTGCTGATATTAAAGGAGTGCCAAGCCACTGACTGTCTTTAGTTTGTGTAAGCAAATGGTTCCCCTCTGAATTGACATTAGTTCCTCCCCGACCTAGAGGGGGAAAAAAAGGGGGGGGGGAGAATGGATAAACCTGTTCTACATGTTCATGAACTGAGTCTCAGGAATACTATCCCCAAGGGAATATGTGAAAGATCCTTCTGTATTCCATATTCCTTCAAGAAGTGAAAAAGAAGAAAACTGCTTGCCCTTCCTAAAGAATTATCTAGTTCAGTGATTCTCATCCTGTGGTCTGCGGATGCCTGAAGGGCCGTGATGTCATCAGAGGGGATCTGAAAAGGGTTGAAGAAATGTTATGATTTAAATCTTGAGTTAAGTTTTGGAGGTTCCATGGCCATGGTCTGTGGCCACAAAAGGCATTTAAAGGGGGTCCATAGTGAAGAAAAGGTTGAGAACCGCTGATCTAATTTATTCTGAAGAATAGAAAACATTGCTCCATTAGATATCATAGGAGATCTAGGTTTTCATTGATTACAGAATATCACCTAATGGGACACAAGAAACATGTTGGGGTTTTTTTGTCATACTCTCTTCCTTTTGGAACATCACACTACTCAAATTTATATTGGCTCTGACCTTCCAAAGTCTTGGTTATTGTCCAGACGGGGGTTCAGGAAGTTAGTGGAGCCTGCATAGTTTGTTACTGTTGGTAACGGATTACCCTTGGCTGCCAATTCTTATTTTTATTCTATGCTGAAATAACATAGAATAACATAGAACATGTAAAAAATGAGAACATCTCTTTCTATGATTGGGACCTTGACGAGGCAAAGAGGCTTGTGCGGGTAAATGAAATTGTGGGTTATGTCATCAGACATGTATATCTCTAGAAGGGTCTCCCAAGGCGAACAGGCCATGATAGATATCCCAGAGTAACACTGATCACATCTGCCAACCCACACTGAACTAGTATGGAAGATTATGATATATTCTTTCCACATGCCGATACAATCTCCAAAATGGCCTTTATTCCCCAGAGGCCCTAGGGCAACTACTCATGGCAGCGGGAAAATCTGCCCAACAACAAAAGGTGCAGAGTAAATCAGGCTGCCTTTGGACTTTGGAATGGTCAACATTCGAATAATTGAAAACGGATACTTGACTAGAAGAACTGCTGATTGCACTCAACAATATGTATTGGGATATCATTGGATTATGTGGCAAAAATTTAGTTGAACTTGACATTTATCTACACTAGAGGTACTGAAGATGGATGATGTGGCGGAATTGGTTTTCTCATCAACCAAAAGCTGAAAGACTGTAGTAAAATTTGAAAGTATATCAGACAGAGTAACCCAATGCATCATTCAATTGAACAAATAATACAAGCTTCAAATCATCCAAGTTTATGCGCCAACAATAAGCTATAGTGATGATGAGATCGAAGAGTTTTACGATAATGTGACCTGTCTTCAATACAAAGAAAAATGCTGATACAAAATACTAATGGATGACTTTAATGCAAGAGTAGGAAGAACAATACTTGGAGAAAAAGCAACTGGCCTGAATGGAAGTGGTGAACGAGATAATAGAGGCAACAGACTAGTAGATTTTGCTGAAGGACAGAAACTCTATATCATAAACTCATTTTAACAAGAAAAAAGCTAGCAGAAAGCTGGCACATTTAAGAAAAGAAACTGCCAGTTCTTTAGATAAACCAAGAGAATCTTTGGGCATGCCACGAAATGTGCCTGCTTGGAGAATAAGTCTGTAATGGTCCAAATTATAGTGTTCCCTGCACTCTCTGGCAAGTCTACAATAAAGTCCATGGAGATTTCCTCCCAGAGATTCACCAGGTTGGCTACTGGCTGCAGTAACCCAGAGGGTTCCTGGGCATTTGTTTCATTGAAGCGCACAAAGGCAGCTGGCCACATAAGCTTCTATTTCCTTTTTCATCTTTGGCCACCAGAATTGTCTCATCACCAGGTGCAGGTTCTTTACAACCCAAAATATTCTACTGCCTTTGCATCTGACTCTGTAAAATCCAGGTTCACTATCTGGCTAGGGCTCCCACTTGAATATGGCCTTCAACTTACTGGGATCCATCTCCACTCCCTTATTGGAGATCCAGTCTCCCAGGTAGTGTAAGCAAGCCTGACTCTTCCTGGGAGACCCCCATTCCCATGTCTGGTGGGCGGGATGCAAGGAAAAAGAAGCATGATCGGACCAGACTGCCAACAAGTGCTGCAGACGGCACAGATTTGGCAGGCTGTTGCTACTGCTGCCACTACCATGGAGGAAGCCCGACTCTTTCTGGGAGTCAGGGACTGTGGCGTGGCTCTGCCTGTAAACCTCACTTGGACAGATCTTCAGCACCCAGCATACACCAGGCTGAAGAAGAGCCCTCCCGTAAACCGATCACCAAACTGGGCGGAACCCTCCAATAAGCCAAAAACCAATGAACGGTGCTCCCCTCTACTTTCAGAGTGGGGCATGTTCTACTACTGAGAAAGTAAATGTACAAAACTTTTGCAGTGCAGCAAACCCACAGCATTGAGATGCCATGCCTGGCAATTGAAACTTGCCCAGCTGCTGCCCCAAAGTCACGTTTATGGGCCCTCCACAAGGGGCACTGTCTTACCTGAACGCCTTTTCTCAACATGACGATGGAGAATCCACCAATGGGTTCTGCTTGTCTTCTGCCCCTAGACTAAGTCAGCCAAACTTTTGCTCCGCCTCTCATCCTGAGACACCCCTTTCCCAGTCTTGACTGAGGCGAAAGTTGTTGGCTATGTAATCTTGTGTTGGCTCAATCCTCTCCCAGCACAGGACCTGACTAGCCCTAAGAGTGGGAGTGGATTCTCCATCATCATGCTGAGAAAAGGCGTTCAGGTAAGACAACGCCCCTTCTCCAGCATGACGAGTGGAGAATCCACCAATGGGACATACCAAAGCCTCCCTGTCCCTATGGGTGGGGGTCAGTCTGGGTCTGTGTCCCACTCTTTGAAACTACACTCTGGAGGAACCTCCTGATGAGGGAGGCCTCTGCAGATGCAAATCTATCTAATTTGTAATGTCTTATAAAAGGGGAAGGTGATGCCCACATAGACGCCCTGCATATCTCCTAAATCGGTGCCTGAGTCGCCCAGGCTGCTGAAGTGGCAGCGCTGCGAGTGGAGTGTGCAGTGATTTGTCTGGGGACTGCTAATGACTGTCCCCTGTATGCCTCTGCTATGCACCTCCTAATCCATCTTCCAGTTGTGGAAGCTGTGACCCTTTGACCTCTTGTGTGAGAGTGGAAGGAGACAAACAGGGCTT